GGGCTATAGGGCCAAACATAATTTATTATTTGAAAACTATAACTTAAATGTTGTTTAAGTTTCATGATGTTAAATGTTTTTTTTATGTTGTATAATTTTTATATTGGTTAATGTTATTTAATGTTGTTTCATATTGTTTAATGTTGTTTCATGTTACTTAATTTAATTTAATGTTGTTATAGGATAAAAAATATAATTAAAAAATATATATTTCACAAATTTAAAATAAAATGAAACAAATTTTGTGAAATAGAAGTTATAGGAAAAAATGGAATTTAAAAAAAAATATTTCACAAATTTTGTAAAATAAAAGTTATAGGAAAAAAATATGAAAAATAGAAGTTATGGGAAAAATTTTGTAAATAAAAAATAATAATAAAACTGTTAAAAAAATTTTAAGCAGAACCGACAGGAATATATTCATACTACTTAATACGTTCACATTTTTTCTATCAAGTGGTAGTAGTGTAGAAAATATTAAAAAAATTAAAAAATATGGGATAAGTAATTTGGGATATGTGAATATAATTTCTCTACATCTAAACCTCTCATAAAAGCTAGAAAAATAACATGGGAATGCAACATAGTATTGTTTAAAAAAATATAAGCAAATCATTACATGACTAGACAAGAGTACAATTATAAAAGAAGAATGGGGTATACTCGTATTCTCATATGTACGTTGATGTAGAGATCTAATATCAATTAGAACATCACTACAAAGATGTAACCGATTCATCTAGGTGCACTTCTAAAGAAGATGTCAAAATGTCCAAATAAGCACTAACAGTAAAAAAAGTAGTGACAATATTTTTCAACTGAATTGACAACCTTCACTGACACACCCCGATCCAGAATGTTCACTGGGACTTCAAATCGAGCTGTGCTGGCCGACACTTAGAAGGTGACGAAGCCATAAAGTGTGATAATGTGTAAAATATAAATAAATTTAAACCTAAAAGTGCCTATATACACAAGTGCATGGTGAGCGGTTTTGGACCCATTTCACATGTGATACAAAGCATAAGAAAAGTACAGTGAGGTAGGATAATAATTATACCATCATAAGGAGCCACCTGAACTGAGGAGTGTCACAAGTCCTCGTCGATATGAAACTTTGCTATTAGAACCTCGAGGGGTGAAAAAATAGAAAGTGTGAGTGAGTAATACAAATATTTTCAAAATCATTTCAATTATCAAAGGTAGTAACCCTTCATCGTAAAACCTGTATAGTTTCTAGAAAATCATGTTACGTATAAGTATGAAATCAAAAGTATACTAACAGTAAATCCAGAAGTATACCACTGCACATCATCTCATTAGCAATATAAATAATCATGTGCTTAATGACCCATACTAACACGCAAGTCGGAGTCACCTATGGTGACTTGTGCGACTGCACCCATATCTCATCAATCAATGCTAGCTCATAGGTCGGAGTCACCTATAGTGACCTGTACGACTCATTCATATCTCATCAATCAATGTTAGCTCATAAGTTAGAGTCACTAATATAGCTTATCTACCAATTCCTGCACACGAGTCGGAACCACCTAAAATGGTCTGTACAACAGCCTAGGTGTAAATAAATACGCTCAAGTGCTACGATCACATGAAGGCTGTGCGAAGTATCGCAAGTCACTTACGAGTCAAAACCACCTAATGTAGTCTGTACGACAGGCTAGCACCTACCTTGGATCCAAATTGAGCGTGTGGTGTGGGAGGTGAATGATCACGTAAAGGCTAGGCCCTAACCTTGGGTAGAAGCACTAACACCTGGGTGCAGGTTTATGAGGTCTAACTGCATTTATTATAACATGTACGACTCATTGGCAACCTATACGACTGTGTCGGAGTTGCCTATTACTGCAACCTGTACGACAAGGTCGAAGTTGCCTAAAGTATAAATATGGTCATGCCATAACTCGATCATTTCAAGTAACACCATAACTCACCTGAACTTACCGGTGCATCCTGCGTTCCTCTTCGCATTTCAAGGCATTCACAGTAATTACTTACAGGTAGTATACATATGGATATGCCATGATGCAATCTAATATTCAACCATGTCAGAGCATTTACCAATATATACATATATATAACATGGCAAAATATGCATAATCTGTAACGCCCTACTCCCGAACTATTTATTTTGGGAATAATTATTGGGAACAAGTCTAACTAAATATTAGTTTAATTAACTATCATTACTTTCGATTCTTTACTTCAATCTCTCAATTTCTCACACATTGATTTATGACCAACATTTGACCACCAAAATCATAAGGTTAAATCTCACATTTTCACCAAATTCCTTCACATTGCTCAATTCCCCAAACAAGGCTTTTGTCTCGATTATTTAACCTCATTTATTGTATGGCTGCATCTAACGTCTCGTTAGACTGTCTACGTACCCTAAACAGGGATCAAGCCAATCGTAATTCACATCAATTATTTGTAGGTAATATGCATATGGATATACCATGACATAATCTAAACTCAACCGTCTCATAGTACTTTAAAACATATAAATATATATAATATGGCACAAATTGCATAATTCAATTTAAGAGTATTTTTCAAATTATCAATCATGTATATATATACGATAAAAAGGAAAAGATCCACTTACCTGGAGTCCGCCCTACCATTTTCCTAGCATGTACATCGAGGCGTCCCGGACGAACGGTGCCTAGGACAATTTTCAAACCACATCTCATAATCCTTATCAATAGATCATGTAATTTACGTAAAACACATCCCTAAAGATGTTTTAGAATGATTTGATAACAATTGATCAAAAGTCAACCGTCGATCAAGGATCGATGGTAGGGTCCATAACTCTATGTAACTTGATCCGGAAGATCCACTTTATAGATTTCCGATCAGAAACTTCCAAAGATCCACATTATGCTTCTAAAATATTATCCTAAAATTTCACTATGATCCAACGGTTAGATCTCTGTCAATTGCCAAAACAAGGTGGCGGTTAACGTTTATTTTATGAACTTGCAAATCCAATTCGGGAAGATCCGCATGTTGAATTCCCGATCCGTCAATTCCTATAATTTTCAAATATTATGTGTTATCACATATTAAAGTTTAGTAACGATCCAAAGGTCAGATCGTCGATTTATATAATAATCAAGTGATACCTTCAACAACCTAGGTTTAGAATAATCCATTCACATCATATGGATATCAACTATGAACTATGGCACTTAAAATGACTTAGAACGACATCTTTAATCCGCTGGCCACGCGCCGCTGCGGGTGGCGGTCGACCATCCCGATTCGCCAAAAATTCCAACTATTTCTAAAAATTACCAAATTTTACAGAAATGAAGATCTCAATGAGTAGAACAAGTTTTATACCTGTGGTCAAGTCCAATTTAGTCGGGAAAGGCTCCAATTTCACTCAAACCCGCTGGAAACCTAAGATGGATGTTCTTCGATTCGACTTCCTCAATGTTCCAACACCCTTACAACTGCTTGGTTCTTGTTCCTAGGTCTAAGAGGAGTTGATTAAGAGTGGTGGTGGGTGGTGAAACTCACCAGATCGAAGGAATCACCGTCGAACACCTCTGGTGCTCCAGTGCTGTTCTTTGCGTTTTTGGGCCTAAAACTCTTCAATCTTGAGTGAAGATGGAAGAAGAAAGATTGGGAAAGATGTTGTAGGTGGTGGATATGGTGTTCCACAAGACAAAATGGCAGAATTTGGCCGGATTTTGGCCGACTTGGGTGTGTGGGTGCACTGCCCGACGGGAATGTTTCTTTTTTTTTTCTTTTTCCCTTTCCTTCTCCCTTCTTGATTGGTTCTCCTTTTCCTCTCTTAAAATTGTTTGGTTACCACTCATGGTGGGAGTTTGAATTAATTTATAACTAAACTTTAAATAATCAATTTCAAATGTCTATAACTATACCGATATAATCCGGACTCGCAAACGGCTTTCGTTTATGCGTTCATATCAACGAGTACTACACAAATGCGCTAAGTGAATAAGTCATACGTTTCTCTACACGTTGGTCAATGAAAGTCAAAACCTTCATCTCTAAGGCATTTTCGTAAATTCATTCTTTTAAAATTTATAAAATTGTAGAACTAGGGACGTGTTGTCACATTCACCCTTGTTGCTAAAATTGACAGCAACTTCAATTTTTTTTATAATTATTATTAAATAGATTTTATTAATATTTTTGTTTTAAAATATTTATTATTATAATAGTTTAATTTAATATATCGAAAAATAAAATTTTAAAAGATATCAAAATTTCATATAAATGTCAATTTCAAATTTATATTAAAAAATTTGACATTTTGATGCTAGAACATTTTCAAAAAAAAAAAAAATCAATTATAATATAAAAAATCACATGATAATGCTACATAGATTAAATGTTTAAGTTAAATTTATAATCCAACTAATGTGTCACCAATAAAAATTAAAACGTTAATCAATATTTAAATAATAATTTAATCATTAACATTAATATTATTTGATTTACAAAATTTAATCTTGCGTACATTACTTAACATCAGTAGACTCCTCAATAATTCTTTATTGCTAAAAACGCAGTACTATTCTCCTCCTCCCCTCCATTTTTTAATTCACCATGTCTGCCTCCGCAAACAATTATCCTCTCTTCCAAATTTCAATTCAATCCCATGGGAATCGACCATTAAACGTGGTCCCCTGCCAAAAATTATTGGGAATATCATCCCGCGGGTCCCACCCCGAAATTATATCATTTAATTATTTTGACCCTAGTCCACCCCCCGGCCCAGATCCTACGGCCCCAAACCAATCAATCACATCAACTTTATCACGTTTCTGCAACATGGGCCTGGTGGGTCCCGCACCTGCAGACTTGGGCTCCAAAGGGTTCGCGCCACGTGTCCAGATCTCAATGAGCACACATTGATTTGGGTTTTTGAGGATGCAGATGAGAATTCCCGAGGGTAAAAAAGTGAGGTGTGAAGGGGTTTGGGAAGTGTGAAGTGAAATAGGGAGAGAGGGAGAGGGGGAGAGAGAGACTGAGAGAGTGAAAGACTGACAGAGAGAGAGAGTGGAAGACTGAAAGAGTTTTTTTTTTTTGAGCTTACCGTCAGAGGAATCAAAGAATCATTTTTTATTTTTTTATCCAGAAGAGGATAGTGGAGGAGGAGGACTGGAGGAAGCAGAGCTCAGACTGTGAGTTGGATTTTGCTCAGATTTCTTGCTTGTGCATCAGGTATGCCTCTTCTAGCTGCTCCATTCTCTCTCTCTCTCTGTGTACTTTTGGAATGGTTTTTCAGTGTTTTGCGCTTGAATCTCAGATTTGCATTGCTTGTTCTGTAGTGGGTTGTATTTTGTTTTCCCATTAAATTTGAAATGGGAGGAATAATTAGCTGGTTTGCTCAATTGTAGAAGACAAAGTTTGCCAAAGTAATGTTCTTGCAGAAAGATTTTTTTAATAGTTTTGAGTTTCTGGCGTTTATGGGAAACTGCTGGTCTGCTTTTAGGGATTTGGTTAGCAGAATGCCATGATATTTGCAAAGATTGGGAGAAATATGATGGATTCCTTAAATGGGGTTCTTTTAGATTTCAATTTGGGTGTGCTCATAAGTGTGAGATTTTGTAGCTATTCACATTGCTTCTATTAGGGGCTCATTGCTTCTTTTATTGTTTCGATAAGCAATTTTTCGTATATCCTGTTTTATCGGACTGATGCAATGTTTGGCATAAGCTACTTCACCGGAATAAGAAAATTTTTAAAAGACAACTGCTATTTCAACACTGTTGTGGTAAACATAGGTCATTTATTCCTTTTAGCTGAACCAACAGATCTGTTTTGAATTCAAGGCACAGACTTTGTTCATGCTCCCTGTATGTAAATATTTGAACAAATCTGTTTTGAATTCAGGGCACAGAAGTTGTTCATGCTCCCTGTATGTAAATATTTGTAATGTTCTGTACTGAAATGAAAAATGTAGTATGGGAATTTATGTTTTGAATCAAAACCATGTTTTGTGAAAATATTAATCTGAAAATTTGACAGGTCTGAGTGGTGGCCCTGGTGGAATGTGATTACCTTGCACTTTATGCTGTCAACCTACTTTAAATTTTGTAACTTTGAGAGATCATCTCCCGGTTAGTGACTTTGACGGGGTATTGGACATGAGTATGCTGGTGAGGACATGCTTGAGCCAAGGGAAGCTGATATACCTGCTCTGTTTCTGGTTTTCGTTGTACTCCCTTTAGTTGCTTATGTTTTACTTGGAAAATGGAGTGAGACATCTAAGAAGACAGAGAGGGTAAGTTTGCTTGCTCAACTGGCTGCAGAAGAAGCTCTTAGAGTAGAAACAATGGCCATTGCTGCTGTTATTCCTCCTGTGTCTTCTTCAAATCCTTCGAAGAATGGACTTCAAGTATGTGCCAGATGCTATAGTACAGCTACAACCCGCTGCTCTAGATGCAAATCCATCAGATATTGGTATGCTCTAATTTTATAGCAAGAACACATATTTTCTGTCAGTATATTCTCCCTTTATTTTACAATAATAAAAAAAATTGCTTGTCCAATAAAGGAAATTGAAACTTAATTAAAAATGGCAGTATTGCAACCAGTGTGACTTATGCACTATAGAATTGGTGGTTTGTTCAAGATCTACTACAGCTGTATATTTTGTTTAATTTCTTGCAGTGGTTATATAACCTACATTTGGTGCTTTCATTGTGTGCTCAAAATGTGGTTTTGTAATTAAAAAAAAAAAAGGGAAAACTTGATTCGGTCCCTTTTGGTCAAATTTGTCTTCACCATATTCAAGCAGAGAACTCAATATCTATTTATATTTTACATTAAACCATGATTTAGGTTTTGGGGAAAGAGCGACTTAGGTAGTTAGATGGTTGTGGGAGTTATACATTCAGCTAACTCATGTAGCTCATTTGGGGATTTCATCGTCTTTTACCAAATATGGTACTATCAATGTAAAAAAGAGAACTGCAAAAGAGAAACATGCAAATGCATGTGATACATACTTTAGAGAAACATGCAAATGCATGTGATACATACTTTTCAGCACGAACATTTTATCAAATAAATATATCTGATTATGAGCTAAAGGTGCAACATGATCTCGGTCTCTAAATGTTTACATGGATTATATGCAGTTCTGGTAAGTGTCAAATAATTCACTGGAGGGAAGTTCACAGGCAAGAATGCCTGCAGTTGGAACCTACTAGTTCAAGCTCATCTCCTAAGGCTGTCTCATTTGGAGAATCTTTTCATGAGAAGTTATTACCTAATGACAGCATCAATTCACAGTACTTTGGGTGTAAGATGGAGCACATTTTGGCTGAGCAAGCACCACCAGATAATATAATTTATCCTTCAACAAGCACTGGTGCCCCCGTTATGCTTGATTGTGCTTCTTTAGTTGATACCTCTCAAGTTTCCATGCCAGAGAGAAGAAGTGTGGACAAGTGGGTTTCCAGAAAATCCCACAGAGAATTAAGAAAAAAAGTTGGAGTTGCATTTGATTCTTCTGAAGAAACATCTTTTGGTTGGACTACCCATTCGGGCTCTTCTAATGTTAATTCATCAAAAGAGGTTTTTATGGAGCATAAGGTTTGTATCATGTTATTCTCTTATCATTAATCTTTCTATACATCTGTGATTTGATGTCAAATAATTGTGCTATATTGGTGGCTGCAGTTAAGAAATTGTGACTCTCACTTAGCAGAGGAAGAAAATGCTATGATGCAAAATTTCAATATTTCTGACAGTTATATGAAAGGTCAAGCTACTTCAAGAAATACGGTGCGTGAGATTGATAAGTCTCAAAGTCAAAGTGGCTACATATATGAATCAGGAAGCAACTCTGGATCAACATCCTCGTCATATTCTTCAAAAAGTGGAATAGATGTGCATGAAAATGGGTTGGACTTCATTCCGAATGCAGGAAATTACCTTAAAGAGGAAAGATTATCCAATTATGAAACAGCAGAGTTCAAATGTGCTGAAATGACGAAAATGAAGACTGAAGTAAAGGCTAAAAGAGCTCCGTATTCCCTTGGGACCAAGTTGTCTAAATTACCAAAATCAACAATGGAAGTCTCCGGAGAGCAGTGTTACTCAGAGAGAGAGGGGCAGGAACAAATTGCTGAAGTTTCAAGTCAGTCTAGTAGCCCACTACTCTGTAAACATGCCTTGCACATTATAGTTGCTATAACTCTGTTTGTGCTGCAGAAATCACTAGAATGAGAGATACCACTGCACAAGGGAGCAATGGAATTGCAAATGTAAGGATCATGAAGATGATGGGTCTAAAGAAGCCAAAGAACTTTACCAGACAGGAAGTCCCCGAATTGAATGGTTACCAACAGAAAACTAAGGTCACCAACTCTGTTTCAATTGATCCCCATATAATTTTTTGAATGGAAGGTCTCCTGAGTTATTTACTGCCCTTTTCCATGAGTTATATTCTTCTTCTGGTTCTGAGTTGAATGGACGTTGTCATTGATGTGTGCTCTCAGGTCCTGTTTCCTTATGATGAGTTTGTGAAGTACCTTCAGTGCGAAGTCTTTGACTTATCACCTCGGGGCCTTTTGAATTGTGGGAACAGGTAAATTAGGATAGCTTATATTTGCATTATTAGGTTGTGGATTAGAAATGAAAACTCCATTCGTACTTATCAGTAAAATAAAGAGGTGAAGATTTGTTGATTGGCATGACTAGATCAGAAGTAACACAAGGATTGATCTCATTGTACTGCTTATAGTAATTCGTCAAATTAAACACCTGGCGTGTATCTTAATTTTTGGTGATCGATTACATAGCCGGCCTGTAATTTCCTGATTTTGATTCTTATAACCTTTACATTTTCTAAATACATAAAAGAATATACAACTAATACAAGAGAGATAAAAGTTTGACTAAAAGGTGACTAAAGTACTTTGTGGAGATGCAGACTGGTTGTTGATCATGGGATTCATATGAGTAAAGCCCTGCAATTGGAACATTCATTTTTCATAGTTGACGTGTTGTATCATTGGGTTATTGGGATTAAATATTTTTTTTTTCTTGCAGTTGCTATGCAAATGTCGTCTTGCAGTGCTTAACCTGCACAAAGCCTCTCATTATCTATTTGCTTCGCAGATCACATTCAAGAGCCTGTACTTACCTTTCCTCATATCCACTTAATTTTCCAATAAATATACATGGCTGCGTTTTGTTTGTAAGCACACGTGAATCACTTTTGTTTACAATATGTATTAGGTTGTGGTAAAGATTGGTGTCTCATGTGTGAGCTGGAGCAACATGTGATGATGCTACGAGAAAGTGGGGGCCCACTTTCTCCTAGTCGAATTCTTTTTCATATGAGGAGTATTAATTGCCAAATTGGTGATGGAAGTCAAGAAGATGCACATGAATTCTTAAGGTCTGTCAAAATTTACTAGTTATGTGTTTTTGTTCTTAATACTGATGTGCTAGCATTTGCATCTGTACCAACTCTCCGTATGTATTCAGTTTTAGAAATTAAATTCAAAATATTGAAGTTCCAAATTTTGTGGAAGGAATTTTAGTATATCATGTGTGCTGTATTTATCCAGGCTTCTAGTTACGTCAATGCAATCTATATGCTTGGAGGGGCTGGGTGGTGAAAGCAAGGTTGATCCTAGATTGCAAGAAACAACTTTTATACAACATACATTTGGCGGACATCTCAGATCAAAGGTGCTTATTGAGTACTTGCACATTTTTCAAGTTGTTATGAATCATCTTTTCATCAAACTGCTCTTTTTCCCCCTTGTTTTTTAATTTATGCTCTTCTTCCCGCCACATTGATCATGGATATATCAATGTTTATGCCACCAGGTCAAGTGTTTGAGATGTCATCATGAGTCAGAACGATATGAAAACATCATGGATCTTACCTTAGAGATATTTGGTTGGGTTGAGTCACTTGAAGATGCGCTGACTCAGTTTACAACCCCTGAAGATTTGGATGGAGAAAACATGTACAGATGTGGAAGGTTTGATGACCTAAATTTAGTATTTGTTAGAACCCAGATTACGTTTTTAAGTTTTTAGTTTTACGGTACAACTTCAGTGACTTACAAACCCACATTTTTGTGGAAAAGGTGTGCTGCTTATGTTCGAGCCAGGAAGCAATTGAGCATACATGAGGCGCCAAATATCCTCACAATTGTCTTGAAGAGATTTCAGGTATCGATCAGATTTAAAATTGAGAGTGAGGAATTTTCTGGTTTTTGAGATTTGTTGTTGTTGTCTTTAAAGTCTATACAACTAATGATTTACAACTTGGTATTAAGCAGGAGTGGTAATCAAGTTAATCTAATGAATGGCATTTTATGAACTGTCACTTACTGAAACCCAATGCAAATCACAATTCAAATCCCTAGTCATGTCGTGCTTCCAACTTCCACCCATTAAAAAGAAATTTCAGATTTGACACCTTCCTGCTAGATAACTGCAGGGCTTTCTGGTTTTTTATGCTTGGCACTACTTCTGTTGCTGGAATACTGAATCATCACTGGTTCTTCACCAGGAGGGAAATTATGGAAAAATAAACAAGTGCATCACTTTTCCAGACATGCTGGATATGATTCCATTTATGACTGGAACGGGTGACATTCCTCCGCTTTACTTGCTATATGGTGTTGTGGTGCATTTGGATACGCAGAATGCATCTTTCTCTGGACATTATGTGGCATATGTGAAAGACATGCGAGGTGATTGGTTCAGGATAGATGACACTGAGGTAAACGCCTTTTCTCATCAACATTTTAGTGCAAGGATTTGGGGATTTTGTGAAAATGGTTCAAATTTGTTTCCCTATAACACATAAATAAAATGGAAGTTTATCCAGAATATACCGAGTGCTTGAAAATATTGGAAGAATCCCAATTTGTTGAAAATATTGAAGTGGGTGGAAGAGCCTCCATTATCAGTGTCATGATATTGATAAGACATCAATACCTGTCTTGTATAAATTATGGTTTTTGAAGCCTTGTTGTTATACTCTACGTTCTTTGGTCACTATAAATAAAGCGTAGCTGCTTAAGGAACATCTGTATATTATACCCTCTATCACTATACCAATTCACAAGCAGTGGACCCGTAGTTTATTCCGTAAGAAAAAATGGAAATGTATGGATTGGTTAGAATTCCTATTATATGCTCCTTGCATTTATGCCTTTTGAGTGTTGACATGGTTCCCCTTGGTGCATGTGTTTGACAGACAAACGAATGATTGAAGTGTATATTTCTTGATTTATTTTCCGTCTATGAGTTGGGTCCTAAGGTTGGTCATGCTTCATGAACAGGTTCACCCCGTTTCAATGAGCCAGGTTATGATGGAAGGAGCATATATCTTATTTTACATGAGGTATGTCTAAATGGCATTGAAAAGAACCTGCCCCGATCTCTTTTCCTTACCGTTTCTTTTTATTGGGGGTTGTAGCATTCATATGATTGTATGTTGGAATATATTGCATTAAGTAGATAGTACGAACTATGGTAATTGTGAACTGGGAGGGGTTTGATTGATGGTATTCTACATATTCTTCTTTCTTTCTCAGGTCTTGTCCCCGCCCTCAAGGAGGATTTTCTGGAAAAGCTATCAAGGAGCAAGTTCCAGGCTTAGAAAATCAATGCCTGTTGAAAGCTCAGAAGTCAAGGCTAGATCAAAGCAAACACAGCAGGCAATTTGCTAGGCCAGAGCATTTACCAGATGATATCAGGCCAGAGATTGCAGCTGCCTTTGGCAACAGCACCGCTAATGATATCCTTAGGAGTTCTAACAGGAATGTTTTCCCTAGGATGGAAACATATGGTGGGCCCATCGGTGTGGAGTTCTCTGATGCTACGTCAAGTGATTGGTCTCTTTTTACAAGTTCTGATGAGGCCTCGTTCACGACTGAGAGTACAAGAGACTCTTTCAGTACTGTGGATTGTGCCGATGCTTGCAATATCGATCCAGTCTGTTCAATTTTATATGCTCCGGAGTATTCTCACAGTTCTGCATCCTGTAGAAAATTTTCCAATAGTAGGCCACACACTAGATTTGTTTCCAAGGAAAGGGGTGTTATTTTGGATTCATGCTTGTCAACCCATCCCGTTGACAGAGTACAGAAACGAAACTATTCAAGACAGGTCAGTGATTCACAAACCGAACACCCTCTGGATAGTAAATGCAGCTCGTTTGTAAGATATGGGACTAACCCAATGCATAGTCTTGACCGAACTTCAGATCATTGCAAACTCTAATCCATGAGATTCTGATTGGATAGTTGATTTAGTCTGGTAGGAGCTGTGCCCCAAAATTTTTGGTTTCAATGTGTTGTTGGTTGGGGCATGTTTTATATCAAAACAAGTAAATGTAACAATCTACTTATCACCGGAAATTGTCGAGTCCTGGGATTTTCCTATGCTTCAATCTGTCTACTGGATGTCTCTGCTCAATCTGTCTTCGGAATATCTTTTCCTTGTGTTTCAATCTGCCAGCTGAAGTTCTTTCAAGGAAATGTTGTTATGAGTTGGAAAACTTTGAATTGATTTCAGACGTTGGTTACCTATACTTGTACTGATTTCACTGTAGGCTTGTCTATCTTGGAAAAGTTAAATCCACGGCTGCCTGCCTTTGGAATCCCTTGCTAGATGGTAAACTGTAACAAAGTTTGACACTAGCAAGTAGTAAAAAACATTTTGCACCAGAAAAAGAAGTTAAAAATAATTTGCAGGTATGGACTTCCCAGTGCAAGTGTGCAACATGCTGGAAGTTAAGTAGTCAAGGTGGAACATTATTGTTTCACCTCTCTTTGCTTTCAATATTTAAATGGAGATTTTATACTGAGGTAGACTACCTTATCTGCCGATTCATTATTCAATGTTTTGCATCTATGTTCATGAAAGTCTCGTGGTGGGTTTGATGCCGATTTTATAGGTACTGTTTGAAACATCTAATCCCTTGAGAATAAGAAAACATGTTTTAAGAAGGTCCCTTGTTTTCAAAGAGATTGGATTTGTTTTAGGGTGTGAGAGATAAGTTGCAGAAGCTTCGGCTGATTGTTGCTCAACTCCAAGTTGTTCTTGATCCAGAGCAAAAGCAAGCCAATAATGAAGTCAAGGTGGAACAGCATGGCTGAAGCTTCCGCAGCTTATTCTCTCACACCCTAAAACAAATCCAATCTCTTTGAAAACCAGGGACCTTAAATTTTCAAAGCTTGAAATTGAACTTTGCTCCTACTTGGCTTCACTACCAGATGGGATTCGTCACCTCACCTCCTTAAAAGAGTTGGTAATCGTGGATTCTCCACCAAGAATCTGGTTCTCACTTAAAACTCTTATGCAATGTAAAAGCAGCTCCACGACAATCTGGTTCTCGTTCTTCATGTTTACAACAAACTTCTGTGTTTACGAACTGGAAATGTGGTGCGATGCCGTGTAAAGGAATTGTAGTGTTGTGTCGTCGTCGAATGGAGGTGGTCGGACAATGCAATGCTGCATCATTTTTTTGTTTGTTTTAATATTCCAATCTGAGTTAATGAAGTCTTTCAAGAAGCCACTAGTCTGATTCAAGGGTTTTTAGTTTGTTTACAACTCATGATTTCCATATATGTAATAGTGCATTTGCGCAGTCTGATATATTTAGCAAAACTGGTAATGTATGTCTGATAAAAAGATGGAAGCTTAATTTCAAATAGTACTATGCCAACCACGGACATATTCACTTACTACAGATGTGATTTGAGGCTTGAAGCATGGTAATTATGTTCTCTCTATACATCAATCACTCTTCTAAATCAAATATCATCCATATCTCATTCACCCTGTGATCAAATTCAAAAGGCGAATTGTACTGTGCAACAGTATAAGCTGAAGTGTGATTGGCTGCATGGCTTTTGTCAATGGCAGCAGACCAAACAGTGCCTGCAAGACTGGCCTGCAAGGCAGCAGCTTCTTCTCCGATGTTGTAGTCAGATACGAATCCACTGAATTGCCTCACCGCAACATATTTAGGTTTCCATGTTTGAAGATGAAGGCCTTCTGCTGGTGGTGGGTTTTCTTGGTTCTTCTTTGGCACATAGAAGCTCACCACAAATGAGGACTCACAGAGGGGTCCTTCACTTGGTGAGACTTCGCTGAGGACTGGGGCAGTCATCTCTATTTTCTCTTCGTACTTGTTCTTCCCTTGAATGTAGTCAAACAACCTGTGTAATTAACATATATGAGACTTTTCGTATGTAGCTTAAATTAAAGAAAAAGTTTGATTTTATCAGTATTAAAACTCCTCATTTCATTAAGTTTCCGCTTTCAAATCAATTTCATTTACTACAAGAGTCGCTAGATCGTTTCCTTGTGAGATTATTTGTTACAAGCGATATTGTTACAAGAGATAATGAGAGAGAGGGAGAATATCTGAATGCAAGACCTATAGTATGCGAATTTTAATATTCTTTCATCCAATAATCACGTAAGAAATGGTCGGACACAATGTTTCTTCTAAAAGAACTAATTATTCATGATGATAATCAAATGGTGAAACGATTTTGGATTTCAATAATTTTTCGCAAGGATGATTTTTAGATGGAAATTTAAACACAAGACAGTTTGTCATGTTGAAATTTAAACACAATGGTATTCCTTTTAAAGGTATCTCTCTTAAGAATGGGGTCACATGTATGCTGACCATAGAGAGAGGAGGAATCAAATATTTCATTGTTTATCGAGAACACATGAGATATAACAATGAAACATGTATGGTTCGACAGAAAGAGGGCTATATATAACCAACCACCACATACCATTATTTTTCACATTCACATTCACCCACATATACATATATGTATATATAACATATATCCGCAAGAAGAAATTCCCATAATAAATCTAGCTCAGCAAGAACATATGAACAAGGAAATAAAAAGGTAAAATACCAAGAATACAGAAAAATTGAAGGGGAAAAAAGAAACTTACTGTAAGAAGCCAGTTCTGGTGGCTTCGACAAGAGAGATATCTTGAATAGGAGAAGTCGACATCCACTCTGTCGAATTGTATCGACGGACTTCGTAGCCATTCCCGACCTCGACTGTGTCGAAGATAGGACACTCTATGCTGTTACATGATGGTGGAAATATTACCAAACTGTTTTGAGTTTGTGGCCACAACCCCAGGTTCAGATTGGAGAGAAGGCTCAAGAAAAATGAGAGCTTAAACATACTGAAAGAAGCCATGGATGAGTAGTAGAGAAAGATGCATGTATTTTTGTTATTTATATACTACAGAAAGATAGGGTAAACTTTGTGAGGTTGGTATGGTGCTGATTCTGCTGAAGAGCATCCAAATGCCTCAGGTCCACATACTTTTAGAACTTGTGCTTGTGGCACTATTGTGATTCTTGCAAGTTTTGGGGTCATTTACAACTGATTTTAGCGGTTCATGAATGTACACGCTTGTGAGATCTTTGTCGATTTTTCTGGAATCAAAATCCAGCCGTTGAAGCACGATTGATTATTTGATGGTAAAGATTTTTCTGTTTTTGTTTGATCTTGTGCACCCTAACGCAGTATACTTTTTCACAGCGGTACATAGCTCCTTTATAAGTTTAACATTAAATTCTAACACAAACCTATTATTTTGAACAAAAATATTGTCACTTTGAGCAAAGTTATGTACTTATTGCTTGTTTATTAATTCGTAATTAGAATTAAGAAGAAATTAAAATGCAGAGAAGTCCGAGTCCGATACAGATTTCAAAGAAACTGAAATGAAGCATATTGATGAAACAGTGGGATCTAGTTCCCAAATGATCCGTTGAGATCACCATGTATAAGAGTTTTTCATATGTGAGTTGATCAAACAATTTATTTTGGTATGTCACACAACAAGTAAATAAGGGATTATGATATATTGAGGCTTAACACATGGTTTAATCAAGTGAATTAATATAATTAATTCTTAGAATTAGAGTTGGTTACAAATTCTTAAAAACTGATCTATGATAGGTAGAGCAGTTGTCGTATAAGTAGCTTGATCCTTCTTCTCAAATCAAGGTTGTTCTCTTATGATTGCTAGTCCTATTGAGAGCAAGGAACGCTAAAGGATTTCAGAGAAGGGAAAACAAACACTCATCAAAATCGTGATGTCTTCCACTGCAAGTAAGTCCCATAATAGCTTCTCCAATTAGGGTTTATTGCTATATGCACAAAGTTGTGAAAACGTAGATTAATTGCTTGATTGTTATGATCTATGGACGATGATTAATAAAGGTTTACACACCAAGCACAATAAAGAGCTATAGGAATTGATAGCTTAAACTATACACTCAATAAACACAATCAGGTAGAAAAACCAAGAGTAAAATTACCTAGTAAAAATCTCCAAAAAAAAAAAAAAAAAAAAGAAAGAAAGAAAAACTCGTTCCAGATATTTTTATTGTGAGCATGACTTTTTTTACCATCCCAACCGATCGTATTGCATGCTCTCTCTCTCTAATTGAGGTGTAACATGTCTGATCTATACTTTTGTTGTCCTCAACTTTGATTCGTACGAAAACTATTAACTATGAAACATTATCACTAAAATAAAGAAGCTATTACATATGATCAGCTGCTCATGAGTCTTGTTATTCTTTATCACATATTCTATATATTATTCTTCATCAAGCCTACATGCATGTATTCATGACGTTATTTTGATACATCTCTTACTTATTCTAATCTGGGCAATATTTGATCATGAAAATCATCCCATTGCATGCTTCTGAATCCAGATACGTGCATTTTCTTCGTACTTGCCTCGATTATTTTTATAGAGCCGAGCAATCTTCTTTTCGAGAGGGTCGTCGGGATTTGGATCAGTTAGCAATGAGCATATTGAGATCAACACTTTAGAAAGACTAAGAGCAGCGCTCCAATTTTTTTTTAGGGTATCGAGACAGATGGTTCCAACGCTACTGATGTTTGGGTGGTATACCTTAGTCTTAAACTGAACCCTTGGCTGGGAAGTTAATCTCAAGGTAGAATACACCTCCTTCATATGGGCTAGCAGGGGGTCCCATAATTGTAGCTTGCCATTTGAATAGGTTTCCGGAGGATTGAGGACCTGCACTGATATGATTAGGAGGATCCTTCTGTAAATCTTTGAGCTCCTTCAAAATGCGTTTTGCGGCAGCCATTGACCTCTTCGCAAGCAAGTTCGGAAATGAAACAAGTCTCTACCGAAGCCCTTGGTACGTACTTGTCTGATGAATCGCACTGATCGCGCTTTGATCGAAGATGAAACTGTTGTGTACTGTATAGCTTACAATCTACTCCATTCTCTTGAATTTATAGGATTAATTTGTACATTAGTTTCATATCTTTTTGGAGCAATAATTGAGGCCATTGATTTTCCAAGATGGCATGGGTTTAGCAACTATTAAGATGACGGCATGGCTTAGCGTTAATGAAAACAAAAACAAGAATGAAAGGTGGATATGAAATTCGAGATTGCCTAATTATAATTAATTAAGACCATTAACTTCCAAGATGGCATGGTTTAGCATTGATCTATCTAACCTTGTGGACTTGCAGGGCTATCTTTGCTTTTTTGGTTTTCAAGATCTCAGCAACTTCAGAAATGAGTGATCCGCTGAGTGATCCGGTGGATAAACACGTTATCAGTTTGGAAGGTAAAATCTGGAGACACCCATGCAAGCTAATCTTATCCATGC